AAAAAAAAAAAAATACACCGATCCCACGCCTTGCAAGCACCTGCCTGCCCTTTGTTGCAGCCGAGCACCCCACCTCCCTTTGCTGGGGTACCCCATAGGTATTTAGAACACATACAGCCCTTCTTATCCTACTTGCAGCAAGCCTGAGCCCCTGCTAGGAAAAAGCAGCAGTAGCTGAGCTTTTTGGAACACCCCTAAATAACTCCTTTGCTAACAGTAGGTGTTCTGCTCCCTGGCAGGATTTGCCCCTCCTGCCACCGGGTACTCACTGAGGAGGGCTCCTCCGTAGAGCCGGACGGGAGTCTTACTGCTCACTGATTCCTCCTCGAAGACAGCATCGTAGAGCTGATCAGGGAAAGTGAGGGCCTGGCGAGAGGCAGGAGACACACTCAGCAGCCTGCACCAGCCAGGGCCATCGAAATGTGTTCTCCCAGGCAGCACCGCTCCGGCATTGAGCCTTGGCGGCATCGGAGCCGCTGGCTGGGACTTTGGAAATTAAAGACACACGTGTCAGCTATAGGCTTCACGATTGGTTTCCATGGTGGAAGCTGCTGTGCCACGTGTGGTTTATCACCCTGCTACTGGAAAAGGACTCCAGCGATGGGAACCAAACTGCCGAGGACGCTGCTGGCGGCAGCTGCTGAGGAGGGGGTAGATGTGGGGGGCCGGGGAGCTGCGCTAGGAAACAGCAGTGCCCAGGACTACGTCCCCTCACTTACCATGATGGCGACCCCAGAAAACATGACGGCGGAAACCAGCTGCCAGACCCTGTGTGAGAGGGAAGACAGAGGACCTGGCATGAGCGAGGGGCAGGTGACCCCATCGCTTATGCTTCACAAAGCATTCCAAGCTGCCCGCTCCATCCTTCAGCCTTCATCCTCCCTCCTCACGCAACCGAGGCAGCCACAAGCCTCAGCTCCTGCTAGCTCCACCCTCGGTACCACAGGGACTGGTCTTGCTGAGGAGACCAAACCAAAACCCCCCCACCCAAGCAGAGGAAGGACATGACCTTGCCAAGAGAATGGCACAGACTTGAGGGGAGCCCCACAGAAGGCATCACCTCGTCACACGTGAGCTCCTCTAGCCTCCGTGGTTCCCAGCACCTGCTGCAGGACAAGAGCTTGAGGGTCTCAGGCTGATTTAGTGGGGGAGAAAGCAGAGGTGGTGTGGTCCCTCAGCCCCCCAGCCCTGAGGAGCCCCTGCAAGGAGCAGAGATGTTGGCACAGCCACAGAGCTGGTGCCATAGTGTATTGGGTTGGGCTGGCCAGATTTTGGTGGCAGGGCGGGGAGCTGCAGGGTGGCTTCTGCAAGAAGCTGCTAGAAGCTTCCGGCCCCTGCGCGGCTCGGCTCGAAGGACCCCCCCGCCGCTGACCAAGGCTGAGCCTGTCAGTAAAGTGACAGGAGAGGAACAACTCTGTGAAATCATATTTAAGAACGGGGACAAAGAACTGCGCCACAACAGCTGGCACGGAGACGGAGCAGTGAGGATACGTGGACACACCAAGG